AAAAAACATGGAAGTAAAATTTTAAATGTTAACTTATACAAATTCATGACAGAAACTCCAAATTGCTATTAGAATGTTTTGTATTAGGGATACAAAAACTTTCCCCTCTCGCCATCCCATGGAATGTTATCTTGACAGTTAAATCTTCCCACAATTCAACATCCCACTATTTGCTTGTGTACAAAAATAATAAACAACCAGTATATGATTTCACATCGTATTTTCACTTAAAAAAAAGGTAGGATGATGTGAGATTTCCTCCTTAAAAATGTTTCTCGAGCTACTAAAAAACTTGCATTTACAAAACAGTTGATAAAAATATTCCTGTGGATTCCACAGGAAAGGAGATAACAGGGCCCACTGATAAGACATGATAGATAAACATTAACCAGATTCAGCTTCTTTTTCTCCTGCTTCATCAGAGGCTGGACTCTTCCTCGTTTTCACTTCTCCATTTTCAGCGGGTAAACCTTTAGTTTTTTGGTCAGCTATTTCAGCCTGTTTTCCCTTTGCTCCCCCATTTCCCTTTGCTTGAACATTTTTATCTGAGGATTTATCCTTACCTGGTGCCTTTTTGGCTTGTTTCCACTTTTTGCAGGCACAGGCAGTGAGCTCCTCTTGGCCTCTTCCTTTACTGCCCCTTCAGCCAAACTGACCTTGCTTATGGGCATCTTGGCTGTAGGGAGGCCGCTGGCTTGATGCCTGTGGACTGAGAGCTTTCTCAAAGCTGGGTTGCCTGGCTGCTGCCGCTCTCCTGAGTGCTATCCATCGTATTTTGATGTTGCTGTGTCATTCAATATTTTGCCTTACAGAGTTCTTCAATCAACTCAAGGAATGAATTTTTTCTTTCTTTTTTTTCAGCTTTAGAAAAACCGAGTATGTTCTTCTCTTTTGGTTTCCTGACTACATGTCTTTGCATGTTTCATTGTAATCTTTTGCTTTGTCTTTCTGAGCTGCCCTTTGAAATTTTCTGTTCAGCTTGCTACTACATTATTTCTTCCCATTGCATTCGATTCCGTAAGTTCTAAAGCAAGTTTCAGAGTTTCTCCTGATATCCATTTCATCTTTTGTTTCTTTTTAATGACCTTTTGCTTCATCATGTATGATGTTCTTGATGTCATCTGGTCATTAGTGTTTATGCATCTCATCTATTTCTGAGATGTTTCTAAATTCAGGTGGAATATAGTCAAGGTTGCACTTTGACGCTCATGAGCTTGCTTAATTTTCTTTAGCTTTAACTTGAACTTGCATATGGACAGTTGATGGTCTGTTCCTGTTCCATAGTTGGCCTCTGGTCTTGTTCTGACTGATGATATTAAATTTCCATGGTCTCTTTCCACAGATGTAGATTTGATTTCTGTGTATTCTGTTCAGTGAAGTCCACCTGTGCAGTCACCATTTACACTGCTGAAAAAAGGCATTTGCGATGAATTAGTGTTTGATCTTGTAAAATTCTATCATGTGACCTCTGCTGTCAGTTATATCACCAAGGTCAGATTTGCAAGCTTCATATTTAATTTCCAGTGTCCCTATTCCAATTACCAGTAATTATTAAGGCATGTTGCTTACAATGTTTGATCAATTTCCAATTCCAGAAGTTGGTGAAAGTCTTCCATTTCTTCATTGTTGGCCTTAGTGATTGGTGCATAAATTTAAATAAAACACTATTAACTGGATTTCCTTATAGGTAGGTGAGTACTATCTTATTATCCACAGAGTTGTATTTCAGAATAGATCTTGAAGTGTTCTTTGTTGTATTTCAGAATAGATCTTGAAGTGTTCTTTTTGTTGAATAATGAGTTGTAATTTCTCTTCAATTTGTCATTCCCAGCATAGTACTGTAGCTTGTCTGATTCAAAATGGCCAATATCAGTATATTTCAGCTCATCAATACTTAAAATAGGAGTCCTGGTGGCATAATGAGTTACGTGTTGGGTTGCTAACCACAAGGTCAACAGTTTGAAACCACTCGCCATTCTGAGGGAGAAAGAGGAGTCTTTCTACTGCTATAAAGAGTGACAATCCCTCAATAATACCTACTCATCACCGTTTGGGCCCACAGGGGCAGTTTCACCTTGTCCTATTGGGTTGCTAGGAGTCATAACCCACTCAATGGCAATGAGTTTGGCTTGAGACTCTTAACCTTAAAAGGATCTCTAAGAAAATATCTCCTTCATATTTAAAGTTCAGTCGGAATCTTCAGTTTACTTCAGTTCTATCTTATTTTGCTAAATTCAAGAAAAAGTAAAATTTATACTTTTTATTTAAAAATTGTAACTATAATTCTATTTTCATAAAATATTTAATGTATCGGTTTTATCTATGCATACAAAAGGTCTTCAGTGATGTTCATCTTATATTCGTCAAGGTTATCTCTGGGTGATAGGGCTTGGGATAACGTAAACTTTCATTTTCTTTTATTGCTTCAATTGTTTATAATATGTATCATTTCATTTCTAATAGTGATTTTTCTTTTAAAGGACTAGAAACAGATACGCTATGGTGTTAACAGTAGTCAATTCTAATAAGAGTGCTTGTCATTTCCTTTTTGCTCTTTATTTTCAAATTCCTAAAAACAAACGGATCATATTGCTTTTGCTCAGATGGAGATCAAAAGAAGATTAAATAGATATCATTAATAATATACATCTTTTAAATTATTCTACTACATGATACTCAAGCACAACCAATTGCAATAAATATCTTTAAAAAAATATCTTTTTACTCAGTAAAAATATAACTTTTGTTTTTCCTAAAAGAAAAGCTACAGTCGTCGGACAGGGCAAGATATGACAAAATACCCATTTATAAACTATCAAGGGCTCATGTGGGAGGGGGGAGCGGGGAGGGAGGGGAAAAATGAGGACCTAATGTCGGGGGTTTAAATGGAGAGAAAATGTTTTGAGAAACGATGTACAAATGCGCTTTACACAATTGATGTGTGTATGGATTGGGATAACAGTTGTATGAGCCCCTAATGAAATGTTAAAAAAAAAAAAAAGAAAGCAAGTTAGGGACTGAAGCAAGCCAAAAAAAAAGAAAAGCTACAGTCTTGGAAACCCACATGGGCAGTTGTACTCTGTCTTATAGGGTCAGTATGAGTCGAAATTGACTCCATGTTGTGAGATTAAACGAGACCAGCTTTCTCACAACGAACAGGGTCCAAGAGGTGCATGATGTGCAATCAAGAAAGATAGATTAAGAGATGAAAGATTAGAAACCAAGTGGGGGTAGGGGACCCTAGAGTCAAGACACTCCAAGGTCGGGAGCTTTATTTGAGGCAGGTTTATATACACTCCTTGTCACGTAGCCTGCGTCTTGGAACAAGCGTCTACACAAAGGAATTGTTGACAATTAGCGGAGGGTATACAAAGAAACATTTATACATTAGCCAAGTTGTCCTCGGACCTCAGGGGAAGATAAAATCAGGAGCAGGGGTAACTGATATATTACAGAATGCTGTTTCAGCAGCTTTCCCAGGGAACAGGAGGGACAGTGTCCAAATTATCTTAGGCGAGAGTCAGACCATCCAGAGCATCATAAGCTCCCACGGTTGAGCCGTCAACATTTTCCCACGGGGCCTTGCCTGAGCCGTGGAAGGTGGTGGTCCTGTCCCATTTGCCCACAGAGAAAACAGCGTTGGATATCGTTATTGTTATTAAGCTATTAAGTGATGATCATATATACCAATTATACTATGTATAACAAAACAACACACACATACACACATGGACCAAACACCAAAAAACAAAAACAACCCCCCCCACCCACCCAAATTGTAAGTTTGGGGAGAGAGTTTTCAGGGAACAGGCTGGGAGCCGCGGAGGTGGCGGGGGCGGGGAGCCCGCACCAGATGCTGCCGGCGGAGGCATTCGGGCCCCTGAAAACCGACAGAGGCCACTTTCCCAGACCTGAAGTCACAGCCGGCCAACCAGGCGGGGCCGCCAGGTCACACCGCTGGGAACTCGGAGTCC